TTAGTACAAACCAAATAAAATTCGGCTCCTTGTCTCTGAACAGTCTGGAGGCTTTGAATATGAGGTGTGTGTTAACCTTTCTGAGACTCTCTCCTCTCCACATATACCATGGCAATTCTCCTTGGGTTAAGAGTTTATTCTTTTTTTTTTTTGAGACAGAGTCTTGCTTTGTTGCCTAGGCTAGAGTGAGTACCGTGGCGTCAGCCTAGCTCACAGCAACCTCAAACTCCTGGGCTCAAGTGATCCTCCTGCCTCAGCCTCCCGAGTAGCTGGGTCTACAGGCATGCGCCACCATGCCCGGCTAATTTTTTCTCTATATATTGGTTGGCCAATTAATTTCTTTCTATTTATAATAGAGACGGGGTCTCGGTCTTGCTCAGGCTGGTTTCAAACTCCTGACCTTGAGCAATCCTCCCGCCTCGGCCTCCCAGAGTGCTAGGATTACAGGCATGAGCCACCGCGCCCGGCCAAGAGTTTATTCTTACCACCTGCATTTCACATCTTCTCTTCAGCTGCCAACATCTTGCCGCCATGATTGGCACCAGACAGATTCATTAGTAGTGGTGACTGTGTATGGCCAGATTCCACTTCCTGCGTTCAACTGGGTGAAGGCCAGTCAAACTGAGGTGAGGACTGATCTGATGCTGGATGGGAGGATAGTGAATTGGGTGATATTATAATTGTACAGGCACAGTGGTTGTATGTAGTTAACCTGTAGGCTCCCTAGTCCCCTAAGAGGTAGTGAGAGCTAGCTGCTAAGTCAGGGTTATCTGGCTGGCCTGTGGATCACACCTCTGACCTGCTTCTCTGTCATGACTTGTTCTGACCTTCTGGAATTGTTACTACCCCTGTAATTCTTTTCTCTCAGCTTCATATCCACATTGTCTTTGATGGTAACCGTGTGTTCCAAGCACAGATGAAGCTCTGGGGGGTAAGTGAATAGAAAGGGGGACAGGAGGGGGAGGCAGATGGGATGAAAAAAGGGCCAGCCTGGAATGAATAGAGGGTGTCTTGAGGGAAAGAGTTATAGTGGGAAAGTGGAGGTTTTCTCTTCATTTGCTTTCATATTCTTTCTCTCCCTCTCTCCCTTCCCCTTCCCTCCTCTCTCTCCCACTTTTCATTTCTTTTTTCTCTCTCTCCCCCTTATTAATTATCTTATTCCTCCCTTATCTTTTTTCCTACCTTAAATTTAAACATTTTTCTCTCTCTCAATAATCACCACCTCACCTTGACCCAAATTCTTTTGATTTCTTCATTCTCTCTTTCTTCTGTGTTCCTCTATCTTTCCCTCCTCCTCAGGTCATAGACGTGGAGCAGAGCTCTGTCTCCTTGATGCCATCTCGGGTTGAAATCTCTCTGGTCAAGGCTGACCCAGGATCCTGGGCCCAGCTGGAGCACCCCGATGCGCTAGCTGAGAAGGCTAGGGCAGGGGTTGTGTTAGAAATGGATGAGGAAGAATCTGAGGATTCAGATGATCTGAGCTGGACAGAGGAGGAGGAAGAGGAGGAAGCAATGGGGGAATAGTGACACCAGACAGTTGAGTGTCTAGGTAGAACTTCAATGACTCCCTTAGAACCCCAGAGACCAGGATATGGTTGGCCATGTGGTGTCATTGAGTGGCAGAAGGCTGAAAGAGGGGAGAACAAGACTGTCCAAACCATGCTGTTTTTTTCCCTTAAATAAATCTTGTATTCTGCAGTTTCACACAGTGTCATTCTCTCACCTCACTAAGATCGTATTTATTGACCTGACTTTCTGTGTGTGTTTGACACACGTGTGAAAACAAGCACATGCACATTCAATCTACTCTTCGCAACCACCAGGTATTTACTACTTCCTATGTGCCCAGTTATGTGTTAGGTGGTTTAGAGGTATCTGAGAAACAGAAGACTCACTCATTTCTCTCAAGAAAAATTATAGTCTGGCTGACAAGTCAAGGATATTCCGTAAGAAATAATAATAAACATTATTAGGTAGTTTAACTGAGTACTAAATTGTGCAGTACAGTTTTTAAGAGCTGTAGGAGTTGAAAGAATGGGAAGGTTAATATAGACTATAGTAAAAAGGGAAGGTTCTGTAGAAGTACATTTTGTTTTATAGCTTTCTTGAGATACAGTTCACATACCACACTATTTATCCATTTAAAGTATAAAGTTCAGTGTTATTTTTAATATAACCTCACAGAGTTGCACAACCACAATCAGGTTTTTTTTTTTTTTTTTTTGAGACAGAGTCTCACTCTGTTGCTCGAGCTAGAGTGCCATGAGTCGCCTAAGCTCCACAGCACCTCAAACTCTGGGCCTCAAGAATCCTTCTGTCAAGCCCTCCGGTAGCTGGACATGTTAATGCCACCATGACCAGCTAAATTTTCTTACTATATTTAGTTTCGGAATAATTTATTTCTATTTTGTAGAGATGGGGTCTTGCTCCTGCTCAGGCTGGGTTTCAAACTCCTGACCTTGCAGTATCACACCGCTCTGCCTCCCAGGAGTGCTGATTATAGGTGATGACCACCCGACACCGGCCAAAAGTTCAATTTGATGCAAGCACAATTTGTCTATCTTTTTCCTTGGTTGCTATTGCTTTCGGTGTCAGTATTCCAAAATATTAACTAATCCAAGGTTCCATGAATTTCCCTATGTTTTCTAAGAGTTATTGATTTTTAGCTTTTACATTTAGTTTAATCTATTTGAGTAATTTGGTATGTGGTCTGGGGGTAAGGGGTCCAACCTTATCTTTTGTGATGGTGAACATCCAGTTGTTTACCACCATTGTTGACAAGAGCTATTCTTTTCCCCATTGAATGTCTTACCCTAAGTGGAAAATAACTGATCATAAATGTGAGAGTTAAGAAGTATAGTTGACTTGGAACATTGGGCACCAAACCCCTGTGCAGTTTCGAAAAATTCATTTGAACGCCTTTTGATTTGGCCAAAACTGAGTACTAACAGCCTACTGTTGACCAGAAGCTTTACTGACAAATAAAATAGTCAGCACATATTTTGCTATGTTATATGTATTATATGCTGCATTGTTACATAAAGTAAGCTAGACACAAAGAAAATGTATTAGGAAATTTATCTTTTTGAAGAGACAACTTACTATGTTACTATTCATTAAGGGAATGGGTCATTATAAAGGTCCCTTTCATCCCTTGTTCATCGTCACTTGAGTAGGCATGTGAAGAAAAGATGCGAAGGGGTTAGCCTTGTTGTCTTATGGGTGGACAGAGGCAGTGAAATCTGCATGACATGACCTACACAGTTCAAATGCATGTGTGTTAAGGGTCAACTGATATATTTGAATGAAAATTTAAAATGAGAAATTGGGTTGAATGGAAGGGCTACATAGAGCGATACTGAGCGAAAGTTTTATTTATTTTTGTATGTATTTTAATTCCCAAAGTAGGAACATTGCCATGTAAAAAAAAAATCTCAAGCTGACAGACCGGCCAGTGGCTCATCCTGTACACTAGCACCTGGAAAAGCCGAAGGCAGGTGGATAGTCAAGCAGGAGTTCGAAATGAGCCCTGAGGCAAGAGCGAAACCTGTTTTACTATAAAAAAAGAATGAAATTAGCTGGACAACTAAAATATATAGAAAATAGCCGGGGCATGTGGTGCATGCCTGTAGTCCCAGCCACTCAGGAGGCTGAGGCAGGAGGATTGCTTGAGCCCAGGAGTTTGAGGTTGTGGTCAACTAGGCTGATGCCACGACACTTTAGCTCTTCTTAATCGGAGGACTTATCTGTGTTTTGAGTATCCCTTGAGTTAGATTTATTCCCTCAACAGAGTGGGAGATTCAAACTCCAAGAAACAGGGAACAAGGAAGCTCACCAAACCTTAGATCATCTCAAGTTTTTTCATAGTGCCCTTTCTTCTCAGTTCAGATTCAAGGAGCATAGGGTCTCATTGGGAACTTGGAGTAAAATCAGGTGGGGGAAATGGATGTGGGCAGCAAAGGTGAGGGATTACAACATAGCATGGCTCATAATTTGGAAGTTGAGGCAAGATTAGGCAAGATACATCCAAGGATATGACTTCTACCTCACAGATGTTTTATCAGAGATAAAGGGGCTTCCTGGGCCAGGTACGGTGGCTCACACCTGTAATCCTAGCACTCTGAGAGGCAGAGGCGGGCGGATTGCTGGAGGTCAGGAGTTTGAAACCAGCCTGAGCAAGAGCGAGACCCCATCTCTACTATAAATAGAAAGAAATTAATTGGCCAACTA